AAGGAAAAAAACACATGTGTAAGCAACATTTTTTTTATGCCCGGAGTGTAGGGCTGTTCAATCCCTCCTGATACACTTCTACAAAATAAAACCACCACCCACAGTGAGCCTGGGTCAGGGGCGGGCTGACAACTCATGGGGCCCCCGGGCAATAGGGGATCATGGGGCCCCTGTGTCTTTGCCTAAACTCAAAAAAGCCTATGAAAAAGGTACCAGGGGCATCTCATGGGGCCCCCTACTGACCCCGGGCCCTCGGGCAGTGCCCGAGTTTCCAAATGGTCAGTCCGCCCCTGGCCCGGGTTCACACATGTGCGGCATGGAAAACCGCATGTGATTCGCACAGGAACCGCACCGAATTCCTCGGCCAATCACATGTGATTTGTGTGCGGTGCGATCGGAGTCGTACATTTTATATGGCTCTAATCGCACCGCACCAAAAATGCGCAGGACCCTTTTTTGGGGTCCGCGCTAGAATTGGATCGCACAGGTATTCACACCTATGGAATCCGATTCTGCACATCGCACCGCGTTTTGCGGACCGCTTTCGGGGTGTTGTTAACTTAGCATACACAGCCGCATGAACTTGGTGCGATTCTGATGCGGTGTGGAATTCGCACAGAAAACGCTGCAAGTTCAGCACCGCATCAGTGTGAACCCGGGCTGAAGAACGAATGTATAAAATCAAAACAAATGAATAAATATTACAGTGTATCAAATAAAAACAAATGACTAAAGAATGCCATGTATGAAATAAAAACAAAGAAAGGGCGCCGTGTATAAAATCAAAACAAATAAATAAATGCAATGTATAAAATCAAAACAAATGAACAAACAATACAACGTATCAAATAAAGACAAGCGGATGAAAACAAAACTAATCAATGGCACAGTACAGGATAATGTGCGTCCAATTCATTTCCAGATTAAAACTCGTTTCTAAATGTATTCAAAGTTTATAAAACATTTTTGATGCGTCCTGATTGGTGGTGAAGATTTCTTGCCATCAGAAAGACGTTTTTTTTGCCAAAATTTGATTACGCTTTAATTTTTTTTTTTTTTAATCTGGCATTCTATTATACACATAATATATTTCTGATTCATTTGGGGTTTTTTTGTTTTTTTTTTCCTTTGTTATTTATTTGTTTTTCCTTGGGCCCCTTGAACTCTGCACCTGCCCCCCCCCCGGGCGCACGAAAAATGCTGATGGGAATGAATAATACAGCTGGACGGCCCTGTGCGCAAGAGGCCTTTGCTTCTCGCCTCTCGCCGTGGGCGGTACATCATTTTTGTTGTCTTTCATTCCTATAGATCAGTGTTTCTCAACCTTTTTTCAGTCAAGGCGCCCTTTAAAATGGACAGTCCCGAGGCGCCCTTTAAAATGATGGACAGTCTTGAGGCACCCTTTAAAATGATGGGCAGTCCCGAGGCGCCCTTTAAAATGATGGACAGTCCCGAGGCGCCCTTTAAAATGATGGACAGTCTTGAGGCACCCTTTAAAATGATGGGCAGTCCCGAGGCGCCCTTTAAAATGATGGACAGTCCCGAGGCGCCCTTTAAAATGATGGACAGTCCCGAGGCGCCCTTTAAAATGATGGACAGTCCCGAGGCGCCCTTTAAAATGATGGACAGTCCCGAGGCGCCCTTTAAAATGATGGACAGTCCCGAGGCGCCCTTTAAAATGATGGACAGTCCCGAGGCGCCCTTTAAAATGATGGACAGTCCCGAGGCGCCCTTTAAAATGGTGGACAGACCCGAGGCGCCCTTTAAAATGATGGACAGTCTTGAGGCACCCCATTCTAAAATGGGGTGCCTCAAGACTGTCCATCCTTTTAAAAGGGTGCCCCATTCTAAAATGTGGAAAACTATTCTACACAAGTAGGACACCCAACATTCGAGGTGATTTATCCTTCCAAAGCCAATACACTTTTGCACGCTGGTACCGACTAGTATTCCAGTGTTTCTCCTCGCCCTCAGTTTTTCTCCATCACTGAGCTAATATGACCCCAGCACTGAAGAAGAGGGGCAGGGGAGGGGCAAACTAAGATACTGTGCAGGCAGCTGACACCTTTCTTATCAACTGATGATGTCATTGGTTGTCAGGACGCCGGCGGTTAGAAGGTCATAATGGCGCACAATGAAAACCTGTGGCTTTGATTAACTAAAAGGCTGGCATGTTCCACCCGCTGGCTTGTATACAAGTTTTGGGCAATTTTTAGACATTTTGACAAGGCACCCCTGAAGAAACCTCAAGGCTACCCCGGGGTGCCTGGGCACCCTGGTTGAGAAAGGCTGCTATAGACCACGGGTGTCAAACTGGAGGCCCACCAGCTGTCACCGAACTACAAGTCCCATGAGGCATTGCAAGATTGACAGTTACAAACATGACTCCGAAAGGCAGAGGCATGATGGGAATTGTAGTTTCGCAACAGCTGGAGGGCCACCAGTTTGACACCCCTGTGTTTCAGAACTACAAGTCCCATGAGGCATTGCAAGTTTGACAGTTACAAGCATGACTCCCAAGGGCAGAGGCATGATGGGACTTGTTTCAGAACTACAAGTCCCATGAGGCATTGCAAGAGTGACCGTTACAACCATGACTCTCAAAGGCAGAGGCATGGGACTGGCATGATGGGGCTGGAGGGCCGCCAGTTTGACACCTTTGGTCTATAGCAGCCTTTCTCAACCAGGGTGCCCAGGCACCCCGGGTGCCTTGAGGTTTCTTCAGGGGTTGCCTTGTCAAAATGTCTAAAAATAGACTATGGGAATGCAAAATGCACTTGACAAAAAAAAATGTCAACACCGGCCGTAAGGCTAGCTTCACATCTGTGTTTTGGGAACGTGCGCAAAATCACACCCTTTCCCACCAAGCAGAGAAGCACACTGCACTTTAATAGACACATTGGGGTGCGACTGATTCCTAATGGTCTCCCTGAGCCATTGTTGACTGCATGGAGCCACAGCGGTGCAGCGCGATTTCACAAGAAAGTTTGGGGAATTCTTTTTCTGTGGTTCTCATGCGTAGAGAAGCCCATTGAAGTGAAGCCAAGGCTTGGACATTCTGTTTTCAGTCATGCGACTGTCATTTATACATCTCCTTGGACTCAACTAAAAACAACTGTCACTTTTTCGGAAAAATATCCCTGTGTGTTTAGCTCTGCGAATTGTGCCTCCTATATTTTAGACTTTTCAGCCAAGATATGGATTTATAAACAATTTGCTTGTTTTTTCCATCTTCTTCAGGTAAAAGAGAGAGGAAAATTCTTCTCCATCTTCTATATGTCCATCAATGCCGGAAGTCTCATCTCCACCTTCGTGACGCCGATTCTCCGAGGTCAGATATCTTTATCCAACTCCAGTCCTATCAATGGGTCCTACAAATGGTGGCGAGCTGATGCTTTCTACTAAAGGACCACATGGGGGGGGGTGACGGACAGAGTGTACATCGGGAGGTGTACAACTGGTGCTATTCTGCCGTGAAGCTGGGCAAATCTGCCACAGAGACGGTCGACACGATTCGGTCGTTCGAGGTGTTTTTGAGCGGAACATGTACTTCAAGAGTGGACAGAGGAGTCCCTAGGGTTGGTGTCACCCGGTGCGGTAACACTTGGTGACACCCCCTCCGACGATCCCCGCAGAATGGATTGGACTCCGATCCATTATGCTCAATCCGCAGATCCGATCCATCCTGCGGGGATCGTCGGATTTCTTTACAACTTACCTTACAACTTACCTTTTCTTGGAGTGGGTCCGGTGTCCGCCCATATAGGTTGCATGCCGACGATCCCCGCAGGATGGATCAGATCTGTGGATTGAGCATAATGGATTGGACTCCGATCCATTATGCCCCCCAATCCACAGATCCCATCCCGTAAAGAAAGCTGATGATCCCCGCAGGATGGATGGGATCTGTAGATTGAGCATAATGGATCGGAGTCTGATCCATTATGCTCCCCAATCCACATATCCCATCCATCCTGTGTGGTTAGTCGGCTTGCTTTACAACTTACCTTTCCGTGGAGCAGGTCCGGTGTCACCCCGTGCGGTCGGTGTCACCCCGTGCGGGCCGAACCCCCCGCACCTGCCTCGGAACGCCACTGAGAGTGGAAGAACATCACTGGTAGATGACGAGAGATCAGGATGACCTTCAACGAGCTCGAGCCCCAAAAATGCCCTCTTTCTGAAGGTGAAGATCCAGCTCAAAGGCCCAAATCCAGCGATTTGGCCAGTTTCACGCAGAATTTCAAGTTTTCTCTGTGTTCTAACTTGCTGTCCATGATGAAATAGCAGACGTGGTAGCACATGTGGTCAGAATAGCACCAGTGGCACAGCTCCCGATGTACACAGGACGATATCTTTTGGCACACTGATTTATGAAGGTCGGTGCTCCCTGTGACTGTGCATGCAGCCTCGTGCTGCCATCTGTTGGCGTGTTACAAAACTAATCTCAAAACTTTTTGATACCACCTCATAAGGATTTTATACTAAAATTTCAACTTCCATGCCCTGTCAGTTGTCCCACAGCGGCGGGATGATTGGCAATGACTGGCATTTGGGAATGGGAAGGTTCCCGAATTCACCCCCCCCCCCCCCCCCCCCCTTCAGTTCATTGTCCCATCACACTACATCTGTACCGGCCTCTCACATCACCTCTCCCCGTGTCTTGCAGGAGACGTCCAGTGCTTCGGAATGGATTGTTACGCTTTGGCGTTCGGCGTTCCGGCTGCCTTGATGTTTATTGCGCTGAGTAAGTAAATCGCTTTATTGGAGATTTTTTATTTTATTATTAACATGTTGAAGTATCAGGAGAACAAAATGACCAGAAAGATAAATAATAACCAAACAAACATTGTAAACAATTTATTGGTTGAAGAGATCCAATGAGAGATAATAGGAAGAACATCTGATATCTGCGTCTGAGAAAAAGGAAAAGGATGTCACAACGATGAGATTAGACCTCCAGCCTCCCCTTCAGTCTTGCACAGGTGTATTGGCTCTTCCCCTTCAGTCTTGCACAGGTGTACTGGCTCCTCCCCTTCAGTCTTGCACAGGTGTACTGGCTCCTCCCCTCCAGTCTTGCACAGGTGTACCGGCTCCTCCCCTTCAGTCTTGCCCAGGTGTACCGGCTCCTCCCCTTCAGTCTTGCACAGGTGTACCGGCTCCTCCCCTTCAGTCTTGCACAGGTGTACCGGCTCCTCCCCTTCAGTCTTGCACAGGTGTGTACCGGCTCCTCCCCTTCAGTCTTGTACAGGTGTACCGGCTCCTCCCCTTCAGTCTTGCACAGGTGTACCGGCTCCTCCCCTTCAGTATTGCACAGATTGTGTACCGGCTCCTCCCCTCCAGTCTTGCACAGGTGTACCGGCTCTTCCCCTTCAGTCTTGCACAGGTGTACCGGCTCCTCCCCTTCAGTCTTGCACTGGTGTATCGGCTCCTCCCCTTCAGTTTTGCACAGGTGTACCGGCTCCTCCCCTTCAGTCTTGCACAGATGTACCAGCTCGCCCCCTTCAGTCTTGCACATGTATATATATTGGCTCCTCCCCTCCAGTATTGCACAGGTGTCCCGGCTCCTCCCCTTCTGTCTTGCTCAGGTATCCCGGCTCCTCCCCTTCAGTCTTGCACAGATCTTAGAGGCTGCGAATGGCAGTGCGGGTAGGGCCCCACCCGGAACTGCCAAATCACATATATATAACAGTAAATAACTTCAAACATGCGTGGGACAAACATAGATCTATACTTAGACAAAAAAGTTAACAAAACCCCCCCAACAAAAAAAAAAAAAAAGACAGGCAGACTTGATGGACTTGGTCTTTTTTCTGCTGTCACTTTTCTATTATTTCAGGTACTTATATAGCGCCATCAATTTACACAGCGCTTTACATATATATTGTACATTCCCATCAGTCCCCGCCCCTGAGGAGCGTACAATCTAAGGTCCCTAACTCACGTTCATACATACACATACTAGGACCAATTTAGACAGGAGCCAATTCACCTCTCAGCATGTCTTTGTTGTGTGGAAGGAAACCCATGCAGTCACAGGGAGAACATGCAGACTCCAGGCAGGTGGTGCAGTGCTTTACATATATATTGTACATTCACATCAGTCTCCGCCCCTGAGGAGTATACAATCTAAGGTCCCTAACTCACGTTCATACATACACATACTAGAGACAATTTAGACAGGAGCCAATTCACCTCACAGGTCTTTGTTGTGTGGGAGGAAACCGGAGTACCCAGAGGAAACCCGCGCAGTCACAGGGAGAACATGCAAACTCCAGGCAGGTGGTGACGTGGTTGGGATTCGAACCAACAACCCGAGTACTGCCAGGCGGAAGGGCTAACCATTCAGCCACTGTGCTGCCCCTCTGCAATATCAGGTGGGTGGTTATACTCTCTTGGTGCAAACACTAGTTTTCCTGGCTGTCAGGCTGATTTGAACACGAATTGGCGATGCGGCATCTCTATTACCAGCCCCTCGGAGACGAACACCCGGACTATTGTAGAGTTTTCTCAGTTTTTCTCTCCCATCATTAGATCCGTCAAGTTTGATTCATAAATAAATCACAGAGACATATATTTTTATACCAGAAATGTGCTTGGCCCCGGGGCCCCTCTGTTCCTGCCGTGCAGAGCTGACCCCCCCCCCTCCCCTCCGATCTGCGTCCATGCAGCTGATCTGATGAAAGCGCTGTTTGTGCGCCGGGCGGTGAATGATTCCCTTCATGTAGACGGACGGCGGGGTCCTGTGAGGACAGGCAGAGTACTGTGGATGGACGTCTGACATTTTGTTTTCTCTCCTCCAGTTGTGTTTGTCAGCGGCAGCGGAATGTACAAGAAGAACCCGCCGCAAGGAAACGTCTTATCCCGAGTCATCAAGTGCATCGGAGTGAGTGATAGAACCAGAACCGATACTCACATTTCACCGACCGCAGAGCCAGTCCACCAAAAAAAAAAAAAAGTCACATTGTAGATATTTCAAACGAAAAAAAACCTTTTTCCACCGCGCTTAGCGATCAAATAAATAATCAATTCTACAGCCGCACAACAAAAAAAAAAAAAACATCCACCCTAATTGTACATTATACTCCTACCAATACGCTGCGCTGGAAATAAAAGTCTGCAACTCATAATCCTCAAATACAGTTGTGTTCAAAATACTAGCCGTCAGACATCACTAACCGGATCAATCGCTGTTTTTGGTGGAAATGATATTTCTACATGGCAAATAATTTCCTAGTAGGTGTAGTAGAGTCATAGAAATCCAACAGACCCAACAGTCATGACATGCATGCTGCTGATTCTGTGTCATTGAATCACTCATTGAAAGGGGCGTGTTCACAATAATAGCCGTGTGGAGTTCTATTAGTGAGGTCATTAATTCTTTGAAAAACAGGTGGCAATTATTGCCCTTATTTAAGGAAGTAAGGCAGCAAATGTTGGACATGCTGGTTACAGTGCATTTCTCTCTGAAATTCTGAGGAAAATGGGTGGTTCCAGACATTGTTCAGAAGAACAGCGTACCTTGATTAAAAACGTTGATTGGAGGGGAAAACATATAAAGAAGTGCAGAAAATGATCGGCTGCTCAGCTAAAATGATGGCAAATGCTTTAAAATGGCAACCAAAACCTGAAAGACGCGGAAGAAACGAAAAACCACCATTGGAATGGATAGAAGAATAGCCAAAATGGGGCGGACTCAGCCAACAATCAGCTCCAGGAAGATGAAAGAAGGTGTGACGTTCCCTGTGAGGACTCAGCCAACAATCAGCTCCAGGAAGATGAAAGAAGGTGTGACGTTCCCTGTGAGGAACTGTTACAATTAGAAGACGCCGATGTGAAGCCAAGCTATCTGCAAGAAGTCCCCGCAAAGTCCCACTGATGGAAAAAAAAGACGTGTGCTGAAGAGGTTACAATCTGCCAAAGAGCACATTGATTGGCCTAAAGAGAAATGGCGCAACATTCTGTGGACTGATGAAAGTAAGATTGTTCTTTTTGGGTCTAGTGGGCGGAGACAGTTTGTCAGACGACCCCCAAACACTGAATTCAAGCCACAGTACACTGTGAAGACCGTGAAGCATGGTGGTGCAAGCATCATGATATGGGGATGTTTCTCATACTACGGTGTTGGACCTATTTATCGCATACCAGGGATCATGGATCAGTTTGAATCCATCAGAATACTTGAAGAGGTCATGCTGCCTTATGCTGAAGAGGAAATGCCCTTGAAATGGGTGTTCCAACAAGACAACGACCCCAAACACACCAGTAAACGTGCAACATCTTGGTTCCAGACCAACAAGATGGACGTTATGGAGTGGCCAGCCCAATCCCCGGATCATCCAATAGAAAACTTGTGGGGTGACATCAAAAATGCCGTTTCTGAGGCCAAACCAAGAAATAGAGAAGAACTGTGGAATGTGGTCCAATCATCCTGGGCTGGAATACCTGATCACAGGGGCCAGAAGTTGGGTGACTCCATGCAACACAGATGTCCAGCAGTTCTCAGAAACAGTGCGACTACAACCAAATATTCATGAAGTCATTCAAAGGAAAGCAAAATCTTCCAACATTTCTCAGTTTATATAGTGAATGTTTGAGTTTGTAAAGAAGAATACAAACACGGCCATTTTTTTGAACCGTCTAATATTCACTTTTCTTCACTTTTTTTAAAGGAACAACACAAATTTGATGTATTTTTCTTCCTGTTGTGATTTGGAATAGAATGTGTCGTGTTCCCAATGCATTCGTGTGGATGGAAATAAAAACTATTAGAAGGATTTTCAGCTTTATTCACTTTTTTCAACACACTGCTAATATTTTGAACACAACTTTATATGCGATAAATCCAAACGTAAAATATACAGGCGGACCTCGGTATACGAACGCCTCGGCTAATGTAATTTTCGGTTTATGAATGAAAGTCCAATTGAAAATAATGCCTCGGTTTACGAATTTTTTTTGCAATACGAACAAATTAATTGGTTTTCGATGCATTTACGAATTCATTTTTAATCATGTCCCTGTACAGTATTTATACCTGAACAGATAAAACTTTTTTTTGGTTTTCAATGCATTCCTATGGGAAACCGCATTATTTTTCGCAATACAAAAAGTTCCGCAGAATGAATTAAATTCGTAAACCGAGGGTATGCCTGTAAATGAAAGTCCAAAAAGTTATGAAGGTTCTCCTGTGAGGAAAGTGTCCATCAACATCAACAACAGTGTATCCACCACCAACAAAACCAGCCTCTTACCGAATTCCCAGACCCCAAATTCAGACTTTCAGATTGATCCCCTTGACAACATCCTTTTGGATGAAACGTGCATCAGGGGGAGGAGGAGTCCGTGCTCATGTCATCAGCAGGCACCACCAGCGTCTATTACATGAGGTTTTTATCATATGATTTTGTAAGTAGAACTTTTGGGGTTTTGATGAATAAGTCTTTGGTGGTATCACGCTATGGAGGGTTTCTTTTGTATGTCTGCGCTGTCTGTGGCAAAGGAAAAGGAATAAGCCATCGGAGCATCAACATCGGCCTTTCCCAACCTTCTCATCACAGAGGAACCCCTGAAATTACTTTCTGGTCTCGGGGAACCCCTGCAAAAAATGACTGTCTACAACTCTCCATACATTAGTGTGGTGGTCAGTGGGAAGAATGCTCCTCACACTTGTGTCATTGGGAAGAATGCTCCTCACACTTGTGTCATTGGGAAGAATGCTCCTCACACTTGTGTCATTGGGAAGAATGCTCCTCACTCTTGTGGTCATTGAGAAGAATGCTCCTCACACTTGTGGTCATTGGGAAGAATGCTCCTCACACTTGTGGTCATTGGGAAGAATGCTCCTCACACTTGTGTCATTGGGAAGAATGCTCCTCACACTTGTGTCATTGGGAAGAATGCTCCTCACTCTTGTGGTCATTGAGAAGAATGCTCCTCACTTTGTGGTCATTGGGAAGAATGCTCCTCACACTTGTGGTCATTGGGAAGAATGCTCCTCACACTTGTGGTCATTGGGAAGAATGCTCCTCACACTTGTGGTCATTGGGAAGAATGCTCCTCACACTTGTGGTCATTGGGAAGAATGCTCCTCACACTTGTGGTCATTGGGAAGAATGCTCCTCACACTTGTGGTCATTGGAAGAATGCTCCTCACACTTGTGGTCATTGGGAAGAATGCTCCCTCACACTTGTGGTCAGTGGGAAGAATGCTCCTCACACTTGTGGTCAGTGGGAAGAATGCTCCTCACACTTGTAGTCAGTGGGAAGAATGCTCCTCACACTTGTGTCATTGGGAAGAATGCTCCTCACTCTTGTGGTCATTGAGAAGAATGCTCCTCACACTTGTGTCATTGGGAAGAATGCTCCTCACACTTGTGTCATTGGGAAGAATGCTCCTCACACTTGTGGTCAGTGGGAAGAATGCTCCTCACACTTGTGGTCATTGGGAAGAATGCTCCTCACACTTGTGGTCATTGGGAAGAATGCTCCTCACACTTGTGTCATTGGGAAGAATGCTCCTCACACTTGTGTCATTGGGAAGAATTCTCCTCACACTTGTGTCATTGGGAAGAATTATCCCCTTACAGATTGCTAAAAAAAAAGATCGATGGTATCAGAAGAA